CCCCGACCCCACAGTCCTGCCCCCAGACCAGCTCTGCCATCACCATCACATGCGTCTCCCCAGGATCTGACTCTGCACGTGTCGCGTCCCTGCTGAAGCAACTTCATCTGCCCCCGCCACGGGGCCAGATTCCTCAGCCAGGCCTCCTCCTCCATCCTCTGCTCTTCAAGCCCATGAGCCCACCATCCAGCCTTCAAGTCTCAGAGCTTCAGGGCAGGACAGTCTGTGGCCCGCCCCCAGCCAGCAGTGGCCCCGCGCTCTCTCCTGTCATAGCCCTTCCCCTGTGCCCTTAGACTGCAGTCTTCGTGTGTGCTCGTCTAATAGCATAGCTGACCGGTGTGCGTGAACCTACAGGCCAGGGAAACGTGTCTCAACATTATTCATGTTCTCCACACTGTTCTGTGCTCAGCAAGTGTTCGTTGAATGAATAAGTGATGGGTTTTTAAAATTAATATATTGTTTTCTTTCTTTTGGGACAAGTTGGGGAATCAGCTGGCATGGTAATTCCATCAATGACCTCGACTTCTTGAGAGCAGTGGAGAATAGCAAGCCGACAAAACCTCAGCCACAAGAGAAAGAGGAGAGAGTGCCGATCAATTTTGCGACCCTAAGTCCCGAGGAGGTTCTGAAGAACATCCAGGAGGTCGTTGCCTCCTCCAGTCCGGCTTTGTCAACGGTATGAGAGAAAGCACATGCTTTTTACTGTGGAAACTGAAGCTCTGGGGCTCACACCAATTCCTCAAAGCAGCTCTCAGCCCTGCCCCTCATCCTGGGCCCCTCCACCTCTCGCCACTCTCCTTGAGCTCGATGGTTGGTCGAGAACAGATTGTTCACTGGAGCCAATGTTTATCTGCTTTTGCTCTGTACAAAGCTACCGTGAGCGTGCCCAGCATGTGTTCTGTGAGACGAAAGTGCTCGCTGTTTAGCAAAGCCTGGGTCTGCAGTGAGGGCAAGGGGTTCTGGGCAGAGGGCAGAGGACAGAGGCCTTAGGGGAGCCTGGGCCAGTGGGGAATGAGTGCCGCCAGTGGGGAATGAGTGACGCCAGGTGGCCTTGAAGATGTTGGCCGGGGCCGGGTGGTGGCACAAAGCCTCACCATGACTGGGAGCCCAGGGCAGGGGGTGTAAGGATGGGGTCCCCCGAGTACACTGACATTTAGGCTGACATCTGTGTGACCCCGGGGGGTCGTGCCGAGACCCGGTGTACGTGGGCATGGCACTGCGGGGCTCACCCTTGGAAGACAGTGCTCGGGCCGCGCTCCCCAATGGGTGCTGGTCCCCTTTGCAGGTCCCCACGTGAGTTCCCCCTGCAGCAGCCCTGGGAAGAGAGATGCTATGTGCAGAGGGCAGGCCTTGCAGCCTAAGGAGACGGTGAACGCAGGGCCTCCCGGGTGATGCTAGGCGCGTGCTGTCCAGACAGCACAGTCCCAGCAGGGTTGCCTCTGTGTCTGCCACATGCAGACCCTCAGCCCCACGCCGACACCAAGGCCCACCTCGCTGAAGGCCTGCGTCCTCTCAGCACCGGGAGGCAAGGTGGGCCCTGCAGTCCAAGTTTCAGTGGGAGACAAGGAGAAAGGCAGGGCAGCCCAGCCAGCTTGTGAATGTTCTGGAATGCCGGCGAGCGTTGCCTTCCTCCTGACAGCAGACATTGTTTGCATGCAGGAATTCTCTGTGAGGATTTAGCATATTTGTGTCTTTATTCTAATGACTATCTAAAGATCAAAGAAAAATTAGTATGAACACATTGCAGGCCATCTAGAAAGACCATCTGTACCCCTTTCGACACCAGGTTGCCCTGGCCCAGTGGTCACCGCGTGAGGACTGCAAACTCGGATGGGCACAGGGACCAGAAGTAAAAAAGTGACGAAGGGGCCAGGCCGCGGCCACAGCAGGCCAGAGGCACAGCTTCTCCCCAGCCCCTGCCGACTGCTGCGTAGCTGAAAAATGGTCCCAGCTCTGCTAGATCTTTGTATTTTTCCTGAGAAGCTATGAAACCTCCTGGCTTCTAAATGTCAGCACGCACTTCAGATTTGTCAAAAGCACTGTGCAGAGGCCAAATCAACCCATTTGCAGGATGGCTCTGCCCTGTTCCAGTTTAGGGTGGCACCACATCACATCTATCGGGGTGTTTCTTAAACTGAGGTCCATGGAACCTGTGGGAGGAACCACGGTTCTCACTTCTGAGAAATACTCCTTAGGAGACGAGGTTTTAAGCAAGAGAGTGAGATTCTCTGGCCAAGAGACTGGCAGGTGGCCTGGAGGGGGAGGGCGTTTGGGGCAGCGAGGCGAGGAGGGAATGATGATGTCTGAGGACGGCTGTCAGAAAGGGTACCGGACACATGATGCAGCTCTTTGTGTCACTGGAGACACGTCTCAATGCAGCGTCTTGTTTCTGAAATGACACAGCAATACCTTATATTTATGTAGAGTTTTATAGATCCCTAAGCCTTGGCATATTTGATTCTTCCACCCACCCCGTGGCTTGTCAGGCTGGATTGACACACGGGGAATCCACACAGCCTCAGGGAAGTGCAGGTCCTGTGGCCACAGCGAGCCGGTCCCCAGCTCAGCCCTTAGGTCCACTGAGCCTTGCGGCACCGCAGCACCTTCTAACGCCCTCAGAACAGAATGCTCGGTCAGCTCCCTTCATGTTGACCGCCATTCTCCTGAACATATGCCGAGATCCACTGTGCGCCGGGTACCTGGACAGGTGCGTCCTCAGGTTGCCATAGTAAAACTTAGACCAACACGAGTTCTGTTGTCCCTCTTTTTATACCGATGAAGTTAAGCTCAGAGAGGCTAAGGGTTTATGGTGGGCGACACAGCCAGGGTTCAGAGTCTACCACCTGGCTGTGGAGCCAGAGGTTTTCCACTGTACCTGGCTGTGTCGTATCTACACAGGCTAAATGAAAGCTTGAAGCCAGACAGTATTAAGGTTAATTTGGTTACCTGTATAACACCTTGTGGACGGACGGGGTGTGCCCAGTTAGTCCTGAGTGAGAATTAACCGCAAAGGAATTTGGGCTTGGGTCTGCAAGCACGTTAAATTCTTACTTAAAAAACTAAGATCTTAACTTACCCCTTGATACGGGTTTTCTAGTGCAATAGAAATGAATGATTTTGTTTCAACAGATGGGAAAAAATGTGCTTTCTTTTTATAGCAAATGTTTGCACTTCGGTTTGACTGCTTTACTGCTGGACTGGCGCCGGCTGCCCCAGCCCCTCTGCACAGGCGCGGGCAGGGGGGTCTCCCCCACCGTAAAGGACAGAGCCTCGGTGTTCAAGCCCTGGGGTGTGGGTGGGATGGGGCAGTCCCTCACTCCTCCTCCTGGCTGCTTCCCACGTCAGACTCCTATCGTGAGACCCCCTGCCTCACACCTGGACGCAGTGGGGTAGCGCCTGAGCTTCTCACTCACAGGTGATTCATTGGGGAGCTAGAATTTAATGACGCAGAGACCTCGGGCAAGTGCCTTCGTGCCTCGGAGCCTCCTCGGGACCGCGAGGACCAGGGCTCCTCTTTCACACCTCTTCGTCTTTGTATCCAAAGAGGAGGGACTAAGGCAAGTTTCCTCAACGACACGTCAACTCTCAGACGGGGTGCACATCCTACCTGTCTGTCTTCAGTCCTCGTGCGTTTATTTAGTAATTTAGAATCTGCAGGGGACTCACGTTCAGTTGAATTCATTTGCATTCAGAAAAGCAATACTTAAGAAAAATATTTTTGAAATATTCCCTTGACAGGAACATCTGCCTTTTTTTTTTTTTTTAATTGTAGGCATTTTCTGCACTGGATAAAGAGGACACTAGGTTTGTAAAGGCTTCAGATTTTGCACAAGTTCTTAAGGATTTCTTTTACAAACTAACAGATAACCCAGTATCATTATTTTTTGAGAAAACTAAGAATTCATCTCACCTCCTGTATATATTGGAAATATTTTCTCCAGAACTTCAGCAGTTACCTTTAGGAGCTAAGAATGTCTGCAGCACATAAGCATTTCTTTTTGAAAAAGGGCTAAAATTAGTGTTTGCAAAATAGATAATTGATTAAAACCACAACAAATAAATTGGCCATCACCTCAGTTAATTAGCTCATTCTAAATGAAAAATTGATATAAATTCTACGTAGTGTTAGAAGGTAAATACGTATCCTTTAATTCATTAGAGTTATTCTATTCTATTCTATTATTTTGTTTATTTTCAAAGAAGTTTAGGAGAGCCTGCTTTTGTCTGGTTGTTTTAATGAGTTCTAAGAATCTTAGATCCCTGAAGATGACCTAGTGTCGAGAGAAGTGAGGCCACTACACGTCAGGCCCTGAACCAGCAATGGGGGAATTGGGACCCACTTGGGAGACATTTGTTGAGGACCCAGTATGTGTCAGGACCTGGTCCATGTATCAGCCAAGCCTGAGGTAGGGGTAATCGTGGAGTTAGTAGGGTCCTGGGGAAAGTCTAAGAGGGCTTCCTGGAGGAGGGTGGGTGGCTGACCACAGGGCTCTCGTTCCTTCCCGGACCACTTCTCTGGGAGCACGAGCTGTTCCTTCTTAGGCTGTTTCTCCATTTCTAAATGTAAATGAACCTACGTCATTAGCGACAATTACAATCTAGTGTCAGCCAACTTGGATTTCTTTGGTCACCATTCTGTGCTGAGTGAGAATGGACACACAGGTGTCCCTGCCGCCATGGAAAGGGAGAGGAAAACAAATATGAAAAATCCAAAAATAGTGCAACAGCTAAGTCACAACAGGCTTGTGCTGAAATGTATTTAACTGTCCTCCTGTAGCTGGATGCTGAGGTCATTTCCAATTGCACACTTTTGTATATAGTGAACACCCGAGTTCATAAATCCTTGATCGCTTATCTGGGATACATTCTTGGAAATGAGATTGCTAGAGCAAATGGCATGAGCGTTTTTAAGGTCTGAGACTCACTGTAGTAATAATAACAGCAGCAAACTCAATATAGTGCTTTCTGAGGGCAAGGCACCATTCTTAGTCCTATATAGATATTAACTGGTCTAATTCTTTTGCTATCACTACGAGGCACATGCTAGTAATATCCCATCAAGTCATTGGGGCACACTGGGGCACACACATCAAGTCATTGCCCACAGTCACCCAGAAGGTGGGCAGTAGAGCTGGTTTGTGGCCCCAGAAGCCTGGCTCCCGACTCCAGGTCTCTGAAGGCTGTGCCATCTCCTCTGGGGTGTGTGAGTATTTTCATCTCTGCCATTTAGATGGACATTTCCTAACAAAATATACTATTTTGTTGCCTGTTTCAAAACTTTATATATATGATATTGTATCAAATTCTGTCTTCGGCACTTGTGTTTTTCTTGCTTAATATCATGAATTTAAGATTGATCCATGTTGTTACATTGGCTTTAGTTCACTCACTCAAGCTGCCATAAAATTAGCCAATTAAATGATAAATGAATATATTCTATTGAATGAACAAACCCCGTTCAGTCGTCGTCCTCCTGCTAATGGCATACAGGCGGTTTGCGGTTTTCTCCGTTACGAGCAGGACACGGTCAGCCTTCTGTGACTGTGTCCTTTGCACACTCGGGGTCACTCTGCATGGAACGGCTGCGGGAGGGGGCGGGGGCACAAGTTGAACTCCACAGACACCGCCACGGTGGTGGCTGCATCTGTCAGTCAGCGCACGCTCCCGCCAGCCCTGCGGGAGGGCTGCTGACGCGCCGCATCCCTGAGCCCTTGGTGTTATCGGGAGTTTCATTTCTGCCAAGACTTTCAAATGTTATCAGCCATCCAAGCTCCCTCGTCTGAGAACTGCCTGAAAGGATTCCACTCCTTTGTTGGTATGGGCGTTGCAAATGTCTTCTCCTTGTCTGTGACTTGTCTTTTCTCTTTGTCTGTGGTGACTGTCACTATTTTCATGTGAATTATACTTTTTTTCTGCTTTTAAAAGAAATACATATTGTGAAAAATTTGGAAAATACAGGAAAGTGTAAAAAACAGAAGAGAGTCGTTTAACCCTGTGATGATGGTGTGATGACAGGAGCAACCTCCATACGGCTTAGTGAGACCTGCTGAGCTCTGGGCCCTGCCCCTGGCATTTGCTCACCTGGTTTGCTGCCCGGATGAGGGAGGGGGTCAGGTGGAACAGGTGGGTCCCGAGGTCAGGTACCCGCCTCCGCAGCTGGAGCGGACGCCAGGCAGTTCAGCTTCAGAGCTGTCTTCCTCCCAAGGGCCACGCTGCCTCGGAGAGTTTCTTCGTCTGTTTTTAATGCATTTACCCCCAATTTTTTCACTGTGGTAAAATACAGATACCATAAAGTTTGCCATCTTAACGTTAATGCACAGCTCAGTGGCATTAAGTCCATTCACGTTGCTGTGTAATCATCACCACCCTCCACCTGCAGAACTCTCTTCGTCTTGCAAAACTGAAACCCTGTCCCCATTAAACACTAACTCCCCAAACCCCCTCCCCCAGCCCCTGGCACCCACCGTTCTACTTTCTCTAGGAATTTGACGACTCCAGGTGCCTCAGATGAGTGAAACGTGTGGTACTTGTCCTTTTGCGTCTGGCTTATTTTACTGAGCGTAATGTCTTCAGGGTTTAATCCTCTTGTGGCACGGTCAGAACTTCCTTCCTTTTTAAGTCTCATAATACTTCACTGTATGGATAGACCATGTTTTGTGTATCCATTGATCTACTGATGCATCTATATCTATCCTATCCAGTGAACGCTTGGCTTGCTTCCACGTTTCAGCTACGGTACTGTGAATAATGCAGCCATGAACGTGAGTGTACAGATGTAATGCGTGTTTTTACGTAGTGGAGATAACATTTTAGATATAATCATGTATCTTGCTGTTTTTCCTTTAACATTAAATTCCACCAAGTCACTTAAAGTTCTTCCAAACATGAGTTAAAATGTCTGCATAACATTCCATCAACTCCTTATTTTTAAGCATTTTGGGTTTTTTCCAGCTTTCGCCACTGTAATTTACTGGGCCATGAACACTTTGTATGCAAGTCTATGTACACATTTTGGACCTCCTTCCTAAAGAAAGAATCCAAGAAATAAAATAACTGGGCTCAAAGGATAGGAATACTTTTGTTGATCTTGAAAGCAGCCCCATTTTTAAAAAATAATTTTTCTATTAGGTTGAATCATATGAAATCACCATTTTTAGAGTCCTAAGTATTGAATATTGACAATTTCATATGGCTTAAGCTAATATTTGTAGAAATAGCCTGTGTCAATTTTACATGATTTGGAATATACCAGTCATTTTGAAGGAGAGAATTAAAGTCAGCCCTAGGGACAAACAGTGTTAACATGTTGCTATATTTATCTCTAGTCCTCTTTTTTATACAAATATCCTTTGGGGGTGAGGTCAAGGGCAGAGAGTATATGCTGCCGAATTAGGGGGTGGTTGGGGATTTTCGCAACTCTTAGATGACTCTTTTATATTTTTAAATTTATTTCTCTTTGAACTTTAAAATTTTACTTTATTATTTTTTATTAATTTTATTAATTTATTAATTAATTTTTTAATGTTTTGGCTGCGTGGGGTCTTCGTTGCTGCGCGTGGGCTTTCTCTAGTTGTGGCGAGCAGGGGCTACTCTTTGTTGCGGTGCGCGGGCTTCTCACTGCGGTGGCTTCTCTTGTTGCGGAGCACGGGCTCTAGGCGCGCGGGCTCAGTAGTTGTGAGCTACTTGCAGGCTCTACTGGTGGCACGCAGGCTCAGTGGTTGCGGCGCACGGGTTTAATTGCTGCGCGGCCTGTGGGATCTTCCCCGACCAGGGATCGACCCCATGTGCCCTGCACTGGCAGGCGGATTCTTAACCACTGCACCACCAGGGAAGTCCCAAGACTCTTTTTTTAAACAAACGTTTATCATTTGTATCAAAGTAATATATGCCCATATAGAAATAAAATTGAATTGTTGCAAAAGATTTAAAAGCAGAGATCACTTGATCAACTGCTCACCTCAGTCCTGCTTCCCAAAGGCAGCCACTGTGACCCCGTTTTTCTCCAGCTGCACCTTCCTGTCTCTCAGCACCTCTTCTCCCCTCCACTCCCTAACCAGCCCCAGACAGGAGACAGGGCTCGGCTGTCCCAGCCCAGCTGCCCAGCTCCTCCTCCGGGACCCCTGCATGTCCCTCTGGAGCTGCCTTTTCACTTCCTGTGATATCGCTGGCGTTTCCACGTCAGTGACTTGTCTCTAACGCAAATCACTTTGCTTTAGAGACAAAGTGGGGTGGATATGTACCATCCCAGTCACTCTGTCCATCAGCCAGCATTTCCTGTACGCCCGCTGTGTACCCAGCACTGAGCGGGTCCTGAGGTCAGCAGTGCCAGGGGCCTGCGTTCTAGCGAGGGAGACGGACGAGAAATGAGAATATGTACCAGATGTCAGAAGCCAGTATGTGCTGTGGGATGAAATAAATCCGGGCAGAAGGGTAGCCCGGTGAGAAGTGGACATCTGAGCCGAGATCCAGCGGAGGGCAGGGAGGGACTCAGTGACCTCTAGGGAGGGGCTGTTGGAGAACAACCCTGCAGGGACCCAGCAAGAGGGAGCCCTCAGGGCTTGAGGTGTGGCTGCCTGGGCGGGTGGGCGGGCGGGAGGGAGGGAGGGAAGTAGGAAGTGCTCAGGGACGGATGAGGGGGGTGGCCCTGTAGCTCACTTCGACTCTGAATAACGTGGAGTCCCAGAGA